TATTTTTAAGATATCGCGTGTTCAGATTCACTTATTTGATTGGAATAAATTCATATATATTAATTATTAAATAATTATCATAATCTCCTTAACATGTATAATAGTAACTTTTTATTAGTTTTTATTAATAATAAATATCCAAATGACAAATGATTTCTTTAATAGCAAAAAAAGATAAATATTTTATTCGATTATTATTTTTATTTATAAAATATTATCAATAAAAAAATATTAGAGATTAGTTAAAGTATTTATGGTGGTCAAAAATACCTTAAATAATCGCTTTAAATAATCTATTTCATTACTTATAATATTTAAAAGATAAAATATATAAAAAATTTGAAGTAGCTGAGTTTGTTAGAGTATATAGATAATAACCATAAGGTCGTAGGTTTAATATATTTTTTTAGCGTTTATTTTTTATGATTATTTAAGGTATTTATAGTAAAAAAATACCTTAAATAATCTATTCAATTTTTTTATAGATGATTATTTAATAAATATTTTAGCAATAAATGTTTTAAATAATAAAAAAATTAAACATAATTATTCAATATATTTTTTGGCTAAAAACAGCTTAAATAATCCTAAAAAAAATTGAATAAAATTATTTAAACATTTTTTATGCAAAACACCATTAATTGTAATATAAAATAAATTTTTTAGCAGTATAAATTTACAACTGATTTGCAATCACTTATAGATATGATTTTCAAAATAGTAATAGCTATTTTCATAATTTTTTTATTATGATCATATTTGAAAATAATGTAATTTTTCATTTAAAATTTTAGAATACCACTAAGAGAGATGAGTTTTTGATTTCAAAATTTTTGAGTACTGCTAAAAGTTTATCACTTTTTTTCAAAATTAAATTATCTTGAATCAAACATTGAAATTAAATAACCAACAATAAAATTTTAAAAAATTTATACATAAAATTTTTTGAATTAAATGACCTTGAAAGTTGGATTTGAAAAAATCTAAGTATATAATTTTTTTTAGGCATCATTTAAGGAATTTTTTTAGAAAAATATCATTGTCAATGCCCTTGACACCACAAAATAATCGGCAATCACATTAATGTCATGACAAAAAGAAAATCCATGTGGTTGTAATGAAATTTTCCCTTATGGTCACTAGCATTACAAAATTAAATATTGCTTTGTTTTTGCTTTCAAGGTTCAACAACCAAATAATGATGATTTTAAAGTATACGTTTGTGTAAGAGAAACCATATATGCACATATTTTCATTAAAATCACATAACTAATTCCTAAATAAATTATGATCAATCCGATGAACCAATGAAATATACTAATTGCTACCTTAATATTGAAAATTGCAAATAAAAATGGAGGCACGTCATTTATAATTTTGTAATTGCTTAATTATAATAAATAAATAAATAAAAATTTATTATTTATAAATGTAAATTTTATATTTACTTTTATATGATTTTAAATTTTAATTAATTAATTATAATATAATAATTACAAATAATTTGCTAAAAAAAAAAATCCTCTACTGGCACTGGCGATCGGGTCGTACGGTTCATGCACGACCAAGCTTATTCCAACAGACACTGACAATTGTTTGCCCCTCCAAACCTGAAAAGAAACTTTTGTTTGCTCTGTTGAATTTTTTTTTTGGTCCAGACTATTAGACCAATTTATCTGTCTAGAGGTCCGCTCTACAAATCTCTTCGAGTTTAAGTACCAAGGGTGATAACGATTAAGATGACATCAGATTTAATTTAATTTATTTAAATACTATATAATATTATAAAATTATAAATTTTAATTTAAAATTAAAAAATTTTATTAATTCGATTTGATTTAATTTATAAATTTATAAAATTTAATTATTTTATTTTTATTTTATATATTATTTTAATATAAAATTTTAATATATTTAAGTAAATTTTAATAAAAATTTATTATTTTTATTTTAAAATTTTAAAATATATAAATTAAAATATATAATTTGGTTATATTTTATTTTTAAAATTTTTCTTATCTCAATATAAAATTTGATTTTAACTTAATAGATATATTTAATATCTAAATTTAGTCTAAACTAAATAAAAAATTGATCCAAATCAAATTAAAAATTATGATTTCAAACTAATTTTTGATTTTTTTTCACTACTATTAGTGAAGGTCGTGCCAAAGCAATATGATAATTTTCTGTCACTTAATTAAATTTTTAATTTTTTATTTGTTCTGGCCAAGTAGATAATATATTTTTTTATATAAAAGAAGCTATACTTTAGGAAAAAAAATTAAAAATTTAAAATTATTAAATATTATATTTTAAAAATAATTATATAAAATTTAAAATTTGAATTTCTTTCACGGATTCTTTTAACACCTAATTCTTTAATGAGTAATTGAATATGAGTTCGATTCCAAATTCTTAATACACATACCAAAGATTATATATTAGCGGTTAATATTTTTTTCAGGTGCCACCTTTGTTGTGGCCAAATGAAAGCTACTATGATAATGAGTTCCAAAATATCATCTGCTGCCTTAACCAGAAAAAGCAGAGTAGGTAGCTGTCACAACTAACAGGAATGGAAATTAGTTTTCGACGGTGGATCATACATTTCGTACCGAAGTTTCCTACTTTTTCCTTTCGTATGTATTGCAGACTAATGGGGAGATTTGATGTGTTTTAGTAGGAGTTAAAGCATGTTGAATTTCTTGCAAACAGGGCCATGGTTTGAAAAATGTACGTCTATAAAATTTGGGTATCCCAATTCCCATGTGATATCGATTTCACTGAAGATCATTTATGGGTTGAAGATTTTTCATTGTGATAGATGATTTCTCCCGATATTTGCAAATTTTTTTAGCAATAAAATATTAGGAGACGGAATTCAAATTTCCAATTAAAAAATATTGGATATTTCTTTAAGTTGGCTGTTTAATTGGCAGGTTAGCCTTAATCACTCGCATGAACGCATTTACACTGAAAGCAATGAGGGCAATTATTCCGCTGAAATCCTATAATCTTTTTTAAATGTATTATGATATTAGATAAAAATTTTAATATTTTTATATTTTACCCCCATTAACTTGAAAAAAGGGAAATATAAAAGGAAATAATTTAAAAATATTATAAAGTATAGACATATTTTAGTAAAAAAAATTTGACTTATTTTAAAAGAAAAACAAGTATTATGTGTAAACATTAATAAATTATAGCTTATAAATAATTATTTGTAACCTAGTATTACCTTTTTTTTTTCTCCCATCCATCTATTCTCTTCTCTTTTCCTTTGCATATTTCATTCTTTTATTTATGTGAAATATCATTATATTACTATAAAAGTGTCAAAGTCAAGCATAAAATAATAAAATATTTGTAAAAAAAAGTGCAAATTAAAGCTAAACAAATATTGTATAGTAAAATATAAATATTGAGTAAAATATAACTATGACAAAATATTCATGATATAAAAATTTATTTTTAACATATTAAAGTACTTTCTTCTCTTGTTGTTGTTTTTTTTTTTTTTTTTTATAGTGGTATTGTGATAAGGTATTTTTTTAACATTATTTCTAATTTTTAATAATATGTATTTGATGTAAAATAATATTGTAGAGATGTAACCTAACAAAATCTAAAATTTAGAAAAAACAAGCTAGTAGCAATTTTAAAATTTTTAAAAAAGCTAAAAAAATATAAAAGTAGCTTGTTATTGTCCTATTTTTTATTTTCATATTTTATGTCTTAAAACAATAGAGAAATTAAATTAGTATTTGATTTAAGTTAGTTAAAGATGAATATCATTAATAAGAGAAAGTGAATTTTAAGGAAATATTTGAAATTGAAGAAAGTTATATATCTTTTAATATTGACAATAAAAAAATCTCAATTTTCTACATATGAAAACTATTTAACTCAATTATAGTCTATTTTCATTTGATAAAAGATAATATTATGTGTTTGTGTTTATTTGATATTTAAATTTTTTATATATTTAATATTATAAGTTTTTGTTATATTTGTGTTAATTTCTATTTAAGCTTTTTATATATTTGATATTGTAAAAATTATCTCACATTTTTTTTATTAAAGCTTTGTTTTACAATTAAAAAAATATTATTTTTACATTAAATAAAAAAATATTAAGTAAATATATTATGTAATAAATTTACCCCCTTCAAAAAAATCTTAAATCCGCCTTTGATCACTTATCATGATCACATTGAACTGATAGTTTAAAGCTTTATTTAGATGAACGATGAGATTAAAAATAATAATAATAATTACTGTAATTATAATTAAAAAATTATTATAATTAAGATTGAAAAAAATTTTAATAAAAAAATTTATGTTGATTTAATTTCACTGACATTTGAATTTAACTGAATATGTGATAAGTTTAATCATAACACATTAAAGGTGCGGTGGAATCCAAGGAAGGGGAGGAAAGAGGGTAACAGCTGACAAAGAACCTGCTAAGAATATATCTTTATTGTTTTTATAAAATGTTGTAATTTTAAGAATAAGAGAATGAATTCAAAAGGGACAAAAATTTATTATATATTATTTTTTAAAAATAATTATATGAATCAAATTAAAATTGTATGAATAATTTAAAAACATTCTGAAATGAGAAATGATATTATAAGTGCTCAAACAGATGATCCAGGAATACTAATAAGGGGCCAAAAATGGTGCTTATATACCAGCTGCATCCAATCCACAATTCAACTTTTTAGAATTAAAAAAAAAAAAAAAAGCTCTGCTCCATGACACCTTGAAAGCGTTTTTGGACACGATCATGCCATCCAATTGAGTAAAATTTAGGTTAATTGGGCCTTAATGGGCCAAAATGTCAGGGTGTTTCCAGCTAATTTGAGTTCTCTCTGGAGCTTAATAGATCTAATTGGACCTAATCGAGCCCACTAGGTAATGTACTAATTGGGCATAATTGGACCTTAATGGGCCAAAATCGAACATTTATAGCATTGTACCGTTGCCATCCTATGGTCTAGGGAGCATGAGCCGATTTTGTCCGCGTATCCACCAGAGCACTAAACCAATCCTCGTGCAGTCAGTCGCGCTCTCATAACTAGTTTTCAAGAAAATGACCCATCCATCGTCTCCTCTTTCTGTCTTCAACAAAACGATGAATTGAAGCGTGTTACAGGCTTCCAGCTTCGACTTCAGCTTCACTCCGCCATTCCAACCCTATCAAAACCAAGAACAAGAATATTACTAAAGAAAAGTAAGGAAAAAGGATACTTGATTTCTCGGAAATTAAGATATGAAACAATTATACAAGCAGCCAAGCCTGAACCACAGGCGAGATGAGGAGATCCCATCAACCCAAACGCCTCCTTACTCACCCAAATCCTTAAAACACCACAGATCTCTCCCTAGATCCATTAACTATCTCTTCAAAGAACAGCGGCTTCTGTTTATACTCGTCGGCATCTTAATCGGCTCCACTTTTTTCATCCTCCAGCCTACCCTCTCTCGCTTAGGCCCAACGGAGGCCCATTCCTCAATCCCCAGATCTTTCTCCACCGACACCACCGCCTTCGCGGACGACGCTGTCGTTTCCCACACGCAGGACTCCTCCGATTCCAACAGGCCTGTTCATGGCAAGGTGGGGCGGGTCCCTGTTGGGATCGGACGGCGGAGAATGAGGATCGTGGTCACCGGTGGAGCCGGGTTCGTTGGGAGTCATCTTGTTGATAAGTTAATTGGAAGAGGCGATGAAGTGATTGTTATCGATAATTTCTTCACTGGGAGGAAAGAGAATGTGGTTCATCTTTTCGGGAATCCGAGGTTCGAACTTATTCGACATGACGTTGTTGAGCCAATTCTCTTAGAAGTGGATCAGATCTATCATTTAGCTTGCCCTGCTTCTCCCGTTCATTATAAGTACAATCCTGTCAAGACCATCATATCCTTTTGTTTGTTTCTTTGTGTTTGTCAATATTATTGTTTTGGATTGAATGCGTTTTTGTGTTTGGTTGAATGATGTTCATCGGAGATCCTTGACTTGTTGAGTTTACAAGACAAATGTGATGGGTACTCTTAATATGTTGGGGCTTGCAAAGAGAGTTGGGGCGAGGTTTTTGCTCACGAGCACGAGTGAGGTTTATGGTGATCCGCTTCAGCATCCGCAGAAAGAAACCTATTGGGGAAATGTCAATCCAATTGGTAAGAAGCTAGCAATAGTGCAACAATATTCCCTATTGGTTGCTTGTTTCTCTGTTTTGTACGACAACAACAACAACAAAGTAAGCCTTATATCCCATAATTGTTTCTTTGTTTTATGTTGTCTAATATTAATGTTTGGGTTGAATGTGGTTAGGCGAGAGGAGTTGCTATGATGAAGGAAAAAGGACGGCTGAAACCTTAACTATGGATTATCATCGAGGTGCAGGTGTTGAGGTATGGTTTTTTGGATATTTACTTGTACGTGAACAATGCCAGCATGATTGATTTATGTACAAGATAATGGGATATTGAGCACCTGCTCTAGAAATTGTCATGTTGTAATATTTACAGCAATGTCTGCTTTTAATAATCCCATGGCTTTGACAGTCCTGTTGGTTGTCCTTTTACTGGTATCTTAGAATCTGAGTAATACGTTTATTCTGTAGTGTGATGGTGTGTTATTACCTTGAAGTATTGTGGCCTTTGATGCTTAATTAGGGTGAGAAATCGTGTGATAGGTTAATTTGTTTATATATCCAAAAATTGGGCCATTAGTTCTTCCTTAAGTATTCTAAAAACTGACACTTGATGAAAGGTAGTGTAATATGACATGGATAATCACGGAATTTGTAGTAAATAAAATTTCATTGCCCACAAGCAAACCAGTCAACTAGAGGAAAAGGTTGGAGCTGAATTTACAATTTCCTTGTAGTAATTTGCTAAAAGAATATGTTGAGTCTAGCTTACAAATCCTTTTCAGTAATGTGGTAAACTAATGTGTTAATGTCTTCAAAAATGTATATAAAACTCACAACAGTAGTGAATCATTAAGGTTAGCCAGGTCCTCTTTTGGTCAAGTCAGTTGCAACTTCGAACTGACCATCTGATGCTTAGCCAAAACCTAAAAGATTAACTTTCATTTGACCATGAATTGGATCTGCATCGTATTACAATTTACTGCCTTGTGGTTCCTGTGTACTAGACAAGTTTTTTATGTGAATATTATTAATAATGTATTTGAACGGGAGATAAAAAAGATCATCTGTCATATGAAAGATCTTCTACATGTGATGATCAAATGATGATACTTGCTATTTGCAGGTGCGAATTGCTCGTATTTTCAATACTTATGGGCCTCGCATGTGCTTGGATGATGGACGTGTTGTTAGCAATTTTGTTGCTCAGGTTATTCATCCTTCTAATATTTTGTAGCATTCATTTACAGAATTCAGTTGATATGTGGATTATACAACATTTTCTAATAACCATAGCTTTGTTTTTCAGGCAATCCGTAAGCAACCGATGACTGTTTATGGTGATGGGAAACAAACACGAAGCTTCCAATATGTTTCTGATTTGGTATGACTGGTTATTATCTTATGTACTTTTCCTATGCTGCTTTTTTCTTGGTGGCTTCTGCAAATGTAGAATGAGTTAAGCATTTATATTGGTATTTGAATTGTGAAAACTGGAGAGAAGAGTGAAGTGGAAAGAAGTTCGATTATTTTTCTCATTTGGATTAGAGTGAGGAAGTAAAAACTAGTTATATGATTCTTTTATTCTAAAAGTTAAAAGAGTCAGACAAGTTGGAAGTCAAGAACATTTGAATACATACAATTGAAGATAATTTCATACTGGAGCTCATCAATGACAGGTGGATGGACTTGTTGCTTTAATGGAAGGGGAGCGCATAGGGCCTTTTAATCTGGGCAACCCAGGAGAGTTCACTATGCTTGAATTGGCCGAGGTTTGTCTTCTTGAATGCATTTTGCTTTCTGTTAAGTTTCTCTAAATCTTAGAATTCATAGAGGCCTTCCAAATTCATTTTCCTCCTAACCTTCAGGTTGTCAAAGAAACAATTGATCCAAGTGCAACAATAGAATATAAACCAAATACTGCAGATGACCCACATATGAGGAAACCGGATATCAGCAAAGCAAAGGAGCTGCTGAACTGGGAGCCAAAAGTCTCCTTGAGAGAGGGGTTGCCTCTTATGGTGAGCGATTTCCGGAATCGCATTTTGAATGAAGATGAAGGAAAAGGAGCTTAGATGAAAAAGAAATAGCAAAACAAATATGTATAGTGTGAAGAGCATCTGTATTTTGTCAATTCATTTATTGTTATCATCCATGTTCTACATTACCTGAAAATTTAGCAGTTCAACCCATCAATAGGAAGATCTGTTGTCCTTTCCTTTTATGTTAACCAGTTCTAATTGTTCACATCTACACTGTGCATTTGTTTGCACATAGTCAAGTTTTGTATTGACTGATTCCTAAAGCTCCCTTGCCCTAAATGGACTTATCACTCAGTAGTGGATACTATCAGTTTTAGGGGGCTATTGTGAGGTGAATGGCAGCAATTGCTTAATTAGATCATGTAATGCTTTTTAGTCTTTGCCCTTTGGTGGTCTGAGAGAAGTTGAATGTTCATCTTGATGCTGATTGCTATAGCTTCTAAAGGCATTAATGCCCTTTCAAAGGCTTCACTTGGGCTTTGATTGGGTTGATTCGCTCATCTGTAAGTTATTCTTTCTTCTAAGTTCTAGCAATAAGAATAGCTTTATTTTTCATATTTTCCCGCCTTTCAGTTTCTTGTTTTTTCATTTCGTGGAAGGTAAAAAAAAAAAAATATCATAAGGGGAAGAAGGGGATGGGCTAACGGATTTGGGTCACGAGATGGTTGTCTCAAAGGCAGGTTAGGAGTTCACTTAAATATTTCTAGTCCATGACATGCCGAAAAGACAGTAACCCTTCATTTGGGCCTCAATTGTGTCAGTCTAGTCCAAATCTGAAGTACTTATAGCCACCGAATGGGATAAAGACGAGCTCCTTTTGGTGTTTTTCTTTGGAAAATTGGAATAAAAATTGCATGGTGTTAGACAGGAACACTTGGGTCGGGGACCATTGAATAAAGCGTTAAGTTAGTGTGCGCAACCTTTCTCATCTGACAAATTTCCTCAGGGTTTTCATTTTTCAATCAAATTATTGGTTAATAATTAGTTTTTTTCTCTTCTAAAAAGCGTAATAGCTGTTCGACCGACACCCATTTTTTGCACACTAAAAAACGATGTACAATAATAGCTGAAGTGCATATGTCGAACACAAAGAAAAGAACAGGCCATCTTCCTATGTACCTAAATTTGCTTGCATTGCTTATGCCTCCCTTTTTTCTTGATTAAAAAGGCCTCTTACACCACCAAATCTTTTCTTTAGGACAATTGTAATTCGGGCCATACTCTTCTTGGAAGGCATCCATATATATAAATATATCCCAAAAGTTCACAGAAGATCATCGACTCTTTAAAAACGTAATTGGAATGATAAGAATTATCAAGTTGAACCAATTAAGGCTTGCCATCACCATAAGAAATTGCGGCAAATAGGATTTTGTTGGCTTACAACTTTCACAATCTCCCCCACTTCCTATTTGTTATGGAATGTCGTGATTGCTTTGAACTTCGAAGTCGATAAAAGATGGGCGTTAGGTGCAAAATTCCATTCCACTAACAAAAGCCACAGTAAAGGAAAGGAGAAATAAGTTGGTCAATATATGAAAACTCTCGACTTGGTCCAAAGCCAAAGGGGTTGGCATTTGGCAATTAGGATGTAAAAAGGAGGAAAAGAAAAAGAAAAGCCATTTCGAAGCATCTGATTCCACTAGGTTTGTGAAGTAGAATTTGAGTTAAAAAAGTGGCTTGTGTCTTATCCATCTACAGGCAAAAAAAAAAATTCCAAATGGTTTTCTTAATATCTGGCAACATAAGTTCTATGAGAATCTGAATAAAATCATTAAATGTTATATGTTCAATAATAATTGTGTATTGCAGGAACAACTGGGCCTGCCCCTGTTGTGTTACTGCTATGAGCGTGTACATCTGTAATTAGGGGGTGGGGGCATTTCCCTTTGCTTTTTCTTCTTCTGTTTGATCTCTTTATGCTTGGTTTTTAAATAACAATTCTAAGCCATATGGTTCTTGGACCACAAAGGTTTTAATTCTTCCTCAACTACCTCATGAATTATGATTTTAATTCCTATAGAACTAAAATAATTTGGAACTAAGTTGATTTTCTTCTGATAAATCCTCTGTGAGAATCCAAGACATGGTAGATATATATACTAGAAACTACAAAGTAACTATACGTACAAGAATAAGAATTCAGTTACAGCCACTCTTTCACTGCTGTGGCTTTCAAATGGATTGGAGACTGACTGGTTCTTTTCATTGGAGCTTGAAAGAGCACTCAGGTTTTGTAATTTTTACATAAGCTGGTAAGGGTTCCATGACCAATAATCAAACTCATTAATCTTTTAAACCAACCCCAAGTAGAATCCTTTCCCATTTTCTAATCAAGGGAAAAACATCTGGGGAGTTTAATTTATTTATAGCCTGGTGACAACAAAAGTAGACAGAAATTAATGTAACAACCATGATTTTGCTCTTAAGTGTCCTGCCTTGTCAATAAATGTAGCATTATATAGCAGCCTGGTTGCTGATAATTTTACCGTTGGTCTATCTCATATATGCTTCCTTCAAAAAAATTGAATTCACAGACAAAAGACTGACAAGTAGGCCATCCCCACCTGGCCAACGGAGAAGACACATTGATTTTTGCAGAAAAAAATGTTTTTGTTTCTATCAAAAACGATGAAAATTTTTATGGTTAAACAATAGTTTATAACAGGCCAATGTTTCATATGAAAATGTCGCGTGAACTCTTATGTTGTCTCCAAGAATCTGATCTAATTACTTTTTATATGTCAAAGTAGTACTAATTAAATATGATTATCAGAATAATTTGTGCTAGTTTTGCGCATCTGTTCTTGTTAATTTCCTGATTAAAAAAAGATTATAAAATGATGGAGCCATTTACTTTGAAAAGAACATTTATATAGGAACATAATATAAAAAATTGCAGTAGGCCAAACACATCCATGGAACTAAGTGCAGAGAGGTGTAAAAAAGCCTTGTGCAAATTGAAAGACCGGAAAGAACTTTCACAAAGGCCTTAAGCTTCGACGCCAATGTCTAGAGGTATAAATGCAGTATACTATTTTAAATTACTGATAAAAAGAACAAGCCAGCTATTAACTTTAGTTCTTTTTCATCCATTGAGATTTAACACCACAGAAAAGTTGGTTACATCTATTAAAGATCAGATTCTGCTCCTGTACTTTGCTCTTTCTAGTGAAATAATGTAATTTGGCTGAATTTCCATATCTTCCAAATTGGTAGAGTTCGTTTTTTGTACTCTGACAGCGTAATTGTGCTAAAAAATTGTAGTCAGATAAACCATTTTAATTAAATTATCTGACTCTAATCCAGCAAACCATCAATAAAAGACATTATAAAATCATCTTAATTTCAACATTTTCATGTGATGTGGCGAAATATTACTTAGAAGGTGAGGCTAATTTTTAAAATGTAGAGTTTTGATTGCAGAAACTTGTACAAATATAATCCTCTCTTAGTAGGTATTCCATGATAAATTCTCTTTCTTTTCTTTTTGAGAATTTTCTTTTCTTTTGCGTTTCTCTTTCATTCTCTCTCAGTGTACAAGAAGTCAAGAACTTGAGCATAAAAGCAGAACAGCCAACCTTCTTTTGGAAGTTGCTCTCTTTTTCTCTCCTCTTGTGCAGATTCTCTAAACCACTAGTTATCCTTTTAGTGCTATCAATATCCAAACTCAAAAAGAAAAAAAAAAGATGAAACGAATGGATATCTTCTGTGCATCCCAAGCTTCAACAGCCATATGTTTGAGCATGGATCAAGCCTCATCCTCTTGCTCCTCAGCAACCACCATTCAACTTGGTGGTCGAGCCATCGATCGCCACAACCCCATCATTAGAGACGCCAAAAGATTCACCAGAACTCTGCCTTCCAACCCTTGTACATCTCAGCCACCTCCAATCAATCCTTTACCTTACCATCAGCTCAGGAAGAATGAAAAAAGGTCTTCAAGCAAGTCAAATAATCATCCTACAAAGAAGAGTAGTTCTGCAGTTTCAGCTAAGCCCAATGATCACCAGAAGAGTTCGAATAAGAACAGTTCATTGAAGCCAACTGATGTAGTTAGCAGGAAAAGCACTTCAGATATTAAAGCTGCAGATACCAGTGGGAAGACCTTTGCCAAGGCGGTTGATTTTGTCACCCCTCCTGGCTCCTCTAGGTATCTCTTGGGTGACTCTGCGCTTTTTGATGATTATGATCCAGTTTGGGCATTGGTTCCTGCAGAAGCAAAGAAGATTCAAGCTATAAAGCAAGATCAATCCATCGTTTCCAAACCCTCTTCCTCCTCTCTCTCAGAGAAGCCTTCCACACATCAGGTTTGCTCGTTCTCTGTTTCATTTATCACTAAAATTTTTTTATTGAATTTTCAATTTTGTATAGCATACCATAGAAAGGTTGTTGAATATGAGTATGACAAACCTGCAGTTTGCAGCTAAATCTTCAAAATTTTGTAATCTTCAGAATGTGCAATCTGAAATCTATTACAAGCCAGGGTGGCTGCAAAACTTTAAAACTTTTAATTTCCAATTTCCAATCGATTTGCTGTCAGGTTGTGGTTTTAAAGGTGTCACTACATTGCAAAGGCTGCGAAGGAAAAGTGAGGAAACATCTGTCTAGAATGGAAGGTATGTATCACTTTCACTTGTCATCTCCTTTAGTCTACGTTTCACAACCTTTGTTATTGTCCTATACATAATCAGTAAACCACCTATTTTTAGATAAAGAGCTGCAAACTCAATTCATTAAGTAGAGTTCACATCATAATTTACAAAAAACTTTAACTTTTGCAATGATTTGATCAGGTGTGACATCTTTCAGCATCGACTTCGCAGCGAAGAAGGTGACAATTGTTGGAGATGTAACGCCATTAGGCGTCCTGGCTAGTGTGTCAAAGGTGAAGAGTGCCCAATTTTGGACATCTGCCATGTCTGCTTCATCTGCAACACCAGCTCTTGCCTCAGGCAATTTAGCAACCAATAAATGATAATAAGAAGTAATCTTGTTAGGTCTTTGAAGAAGAAAACTAAAGAAATCAGACTAATTTTGCGTGTTAAACTGATAATTTAGTGTGTACATGGAACTTGGTATTTTTAGCCGAATCAGAATCTATTTGCAAACTATGTTCCAAGGGACTCTTTCGTTCTGTTTGGGCAAAAAAGAGTAGCATCTTTTAGGCATTGACAACAATTAAAATCTGCTTAGGCCATGACCCATTCTCTCATTTTGTTCCCCATGGTTTTCCCCATGACTACTGTCATCCCTTGGAGCTTCCATGTAACATATTCCTTTCTCGATTTTAGCTTAACTATTCAATTAACCTGTTCACCTGAATTTTTTTAGGAATTCGTAAAGAAATGTTGGTTACAGGCTCAAGGCCATTTCCTTGGTCCATCTTTCAATAGCTTTAACAGTTTTATACAGGGAAACGAAAACCACAGTAGATTTCCATTGAGAACTTCACAAGGAAGCAAACAAAGAGTAAAACGATTACCACAAGTCTACTACTTTAAGCTTCCATCCCACTTTGATTATCTGACATCAGAGATCAGACCCAACTATTTACTTTCCGTAAACTGTGAATGGAGCTTGGGAAAAATACAAATTTGAGGTGGTGAAAAAAAAATGCAGAAGAGAAAAGCCAATGGACACTCTTCCCAGCAACGATTGGTTCCTTCAAAACCCATATTTTATAGATCATGCCTTTCCCTTGCTTTTTTCTTCTTTTAAAACAAGAGACAAAGAAAGAACCAGAAATCATCAAATTCAGAGCGCACAGGATGATAATTAACTACATATCAGTTGTTTCCCAGTAGTTTTTTTTTTTTTTTTTTGCTTTTCTTTCAACAAAATAAAATGCATTAATTCACACCAACAAAATGCTGGAAAAACACAATTCATTGATGGTGACTTATAAAGAGGAATTGCACATGCTTGAAATACGGGGTTTGGCAGTGTCGTACTTTCAAAAACGGGACATGTAGCAGAGAGCCAATAACTATAGGCCTCCTTACCCTTGGGTGCCGTAGACAGCAAATTTTTTTTTTTCTGACCCAAGCTTGAATTTCATCTGTTTTTTTTTTTTTTTTTTTTTTTTTTAATATCTTAAGTCTATAACAAAAATAAAAAATTGGTTAAATTTTTTTATTTGCTTGGGAAATTAAACAACACTATTTAAAATTCTAAAATGTATGAACATTTTTCTTTTATGAATTAATGAATTTTAGTTTTTAAATAAAATAATACATGTAGGTGTTTACCAAAAATAGAAGTAAAATATTATTAACAAATACTAGTATGTTTGGCTGTTGATCAAAAAAATTTTAAGTGATAGTTTTTGTACCTTTGATAAGCAATATTTTTCATAAATTAAAATTAAAAATGTTTGACCCTTGCAGGCCAAACACTAGTTCCTACGATTGGGTGGGTAAAAAAAAATTGCTGTACTAAAACGTAGGTAAAACTGAATTTGTTATTTGGCCCTTACTAACCGCTTGGATCGTTCCCCAATGGTTTGGGCCTGAGCAAGCCCAATTCCGAATACTAAAAAATTAACTCCATGGCTATGGTAACATTTTTTTTTTGTTCTTTTATTTCATTAATTATAAACCATTTATCTTTGCAATAATAATAATAATAATAATAATAATAATAAACATTTAATCTTTAGGATTGGAGTTGGTAAATATTGTTACCATGTGTTGAGGTCATGTTGAAGTAAAATTGTTTATTGGTAATTTTATATTTGTAATGATAAAATTCCAAATTTCAAAATGGGACCACATAGTGTTTTTGTTTTTGTTTTAATCCAACTTAAAGTGTAGTACAAATGATCAAGGATAGTGTTCAATTGTAAGACAATTACATATGATTCAAACTCCATTTTTTCACAATCACGTTAATAATTTTTTTTTTTGGCTAAGACAATCAAGTTTATAATTAAAAAGGATTAATATAGAGATCACATAATCTAAGTAATAATAAGAAAGAAGAGTTAAAAACCAACTCAACTAATCATATATTTAGATATAAAAAATTGTCCTAATTAATAATCTAACCTTAGTCCAATATTTTAGCTAAGACAACTAGGATTAGGATTTTTTTCATATATATATATAGACACATGTAAATTTCCCTTTGTTTTTTGCATTGCAATTTTCTCCTATCTTCCTAACATTCTTTTTTCTTTTTCATATGGAGTCAAACCGTCTCTTTTTCCATTGTTTTGATGATGTAGGACATGAGGAACTCCTCAAACTTTCTCTTGCTACTCCATCTTCATCTCCCCTACCTTCCATTAATCACCGCAACCATGATTCTTCTAAAAGCAACCCTAACTCTAGAAAACGTTTGTTTTCCCATTTCTTTGGTGGAGAAGAAGATCATCAACAAATGCTTGATCTTTCTCTTTCAATAGGGCCGCCAGGGCAGTCCTCATCACATTTACCTTCTACTGATGACAAACGTTCTTTTTCACACAGCCCTAACCCTAACCCTAACCCAGTCCGTCAAGTGATGAGTACTGCCTCTGCAGTTTACCATCCCCGTGTTAGAAAAAACCCTTTCCAGACACCCAAACGAGGGAAAAGTGAAACCATAGCTGCACCATATCCATGGGCTACAACTCAACGAGCCACGGTGTATGATCTTGATCATCTCCTATCTCATGGAATTCGCATGATCAGTGGTGATGTTGAATGCAAAGGGTGCCAAGAAACGTACAAGATTGAATACAACTTGGAAGAAAAGTTTAGGGAGATTAAAGATTTTGTATCAGCCAACAAGTTGACAATGCATGATCGAGCACCCCCTTCTTGGATGAATCCGAGGCTTAATAGTTGCGAGACTTGTGGGAACAGTTTGAAACCAATAATTTCCAAGAAAAGGGATATCAACTGGCTGTTTTTGCTGCTGGGACAGATGCTGGGATGCTGCAAACTTTCGGAGCTGAAATACTTTTGCAAGCATACAAAGAATCATAGGACGGGAGCTAAGGATCGAGTTCTTTATCTTACTTATCTTGGATTATGCAAACAACTAGATCCTGATGGACCCTTTGATGTTTGATTTTGTTTTAGGTTTTAGAATATTAGTTTTAGTGTGCTAAGGAAACCTTTTCTTTTTAATTAACTTGATCTTTCTTAGTTTTTTTTATCTCTCTGTAACTTTGCCTCAATATGATAGATTGTAGTTTGCTTGTTACAACATACTAATTTTGAACAATTCATCATAATTTTAAGGCTGCTATGCTTCTATTACATATATATATATATATAAATCACATGGTAAACTAGGTTAGTAAAAATTCTTGTAAAAGTTTTTGCTTATATAAATATATTTATGTGTGAAGAAACTATTAACTATTAATTATATTACGTAACAAATAAAGCGAAAAGTATATATTTCCTTTATATTGGGTTCAACTTTTTGAATTTTCATTGAAATTAATGAAGAGCAAAACTTCTGTAAAATAAATTATATTTTCATTTCACCGAATATTACACCAAAAATTCTTGTAATTAAAATTGTTTCATCATTCAAGAACTATACATTTTCTAGCTCAAAAAAAAAAAAAATTAAATAGACACCAAAATTAAATCTCGCAAAAAGCTTAACCAAATTTCTAACCCAAGATAACCTTGCATATGGTTTTATTGTGAATTTTCTTTTTAAATTAAAAAAAGAAGAGTATCAGTCCTATAAAAACTCTTAAAAAATCTCTCATGATAGTAATCTTTTGTGTTCGAATTTTAAATTCTTTTTGTTTAATTTTGAATTTCAATTTAGACTTTCATTAGTGTTAGGACTTTTAATTCTGTTTAAGCAACTCCCTTTCTTTCACTACTCAAACTTGTCTTCCCCTATTTTTTTCACTTTTTGAAAGTTTATTGTACTTTTTCCACCTTGAAAACCTAGTGTTGGCTCAGTTATTTTCTTCTATGTTTTGATCTTCTTCATGGATAAAAGTTCTCATATTTTCCAAGGGCCTAATGGTGAGGAAGATAATGAAGATTTCCTGACCCTATCACTCTCAACAGGACCGTCATCCTCAGCGGCAGCACCACCATCATCACCATTGGGGCTACAAATCCTTCAACCCACAAGTTTACCCTTAACGCCTGCTGCTCCACTATCACCACAAATCTCGTTTTTTCCGCAGTTTCTCCCAATCCCACAAGCCCCGCCGCTACCATCATATTATCCTAACCATCAAAGCCATAGCCCTACCTGCCTTAACCCTAACGACAATGGGGTTTCTAAAGAGATTGTCAGCCATTCACGCCCATCCCGTTCCCGTAGAAACCCTTTTCAGACACCAAGACAAGGGAAAACTGAAACCATCCCACCACCTTTCCCGTGGGCTACTACTCAACGTGCCATGGTACACAGCCTTGAGTACCTTTTATCACATAACATGACCATCATTAGTGGAGAAGTTCAGTGCAAAAAGTGCGACAAGGTTTACAAGATTGAATATGATTTGGAACAAAAGTTCAGGGAGATTGCATCCTTCATATCAGAAAACAGGTTTGCTATGCATGATCGAGCACCGTCTGCTTGGATGAATCCGAACCTTCCCAGTTGCGAATCTTGTGGAAGTTGCGTGAAGCCTGTTGTTTCAAAGAAAAGATCTATAAATTGGTTATTTTTGCTATTGGGAAAGATGCTGGGGTGTTGTAAGCTTTCAGAGTTGAAGTACTTTTGCAAGCATACAAAGAATCATAGGACGGGTGCTAAGGATCGAGTCCTTTATCTCACTTATCTAGGATTGTGCAAGCAATTAGATCCAAAGGGACCTTTTGATATTTAATCTCATTTTCAGTTTTTTGTTTAATTTTTCTTTTACATCTAAGATCTATTGTTACATGTTTTTTTTATATATTCGAGATTAATAAAATTTGTATTTTAATTATTGAAACTAAAAATTTACTATTTTATCAATAAATTATACTATTATCAACTCCTATGTTAATATCTTTTGTAGTTGCTTTTCTTTTAAAGTTACGTTCAATTGTTCACGTTCCATTGTTTACCATAATCATTTACGTTTCGTTGTTTACCATAATCATTTTTTTATGAGCTGAAGTTTAGAGTAGAAAGGTCAATTCACTTTTAACTACATTTCCTAGCGGAAAAGTGATATGGAAGAATATCGGATGGATAGCATATTTAAATTTTAAAAAGTAGAGAGATATTTTAATTTAAATTTGTTTGCATTTTAGAAAAAAAAATTAATAATTTTTTTATAAGCTGAAGTTAGTGTAGAAAGATCAATTCACTTTTAACTACATTTTCTAGCGGAAAAGTGATGAAAAATATCGGATGGATAGCATATTTAAATTTTAAAAAGTAGAGAGCTACTTTAATTTAAATTTGTTTGCATGCTTAGCAAAAAATACATATATATATATATATTTTTCGTACAAGTCAATTTCGCTTCCTATTAATCACTGGACAGCCCAATTTTAAGGAAAATTCGTCCAAAAGTTGCACTCATTTTGGGTCCAACAACACCTTCAGCCTTTTCTCCTTCGCTCTTGTCTTGATCCTGAGAGAGTCGGCCTTTGCTTATTTGCTCTTGTCTTATTCCTGAGAGTTCAAATCAATTAGGGCCTGATGGAGAGACCACCAAGCGTATGTGCTGGGTATTTGCGGGTTGTTGTACTCAGGGCTTCAACAGAGGTTGGTTTCGAAATGGAAAGGGCTGGAGCAGTGTAACACCTATTTCCTAGGTCTGATAATTATAAATACAAAATTATGATATAACATGAAAACCATTAAAATATAACATATAAAAGTATCACCATTTAAAATTTTAATAATAATTATATCTAAGTTTAATAAAATAAAATAAAATTTATATTTTTATATTAACATAAATTATCACACATAATTTTTATATAAAATATTATATGAATGTATAAATTTTAATATTTTACACTATACGACGAATAATATTTTATATGATACGAATTGTATGAATCGCCGTATCTACTAATTACTTAAAACGATTAGGAATTACAGAATGTGTAAGAAACCTGCATCAAACTCAGCAGTCATCATTTTGCTATTTTATCTAGATTCTCTCAAATTCAGACCTTTTTTATACTTCGACCGAAATAGTGAAAAGAGGAAATTCAAACAGCATGATAATCTCTGCTTTTCGATAATTCTTGCTGGTGTAAAGATTTAGAACTTACTTATACAGCCATGAAATGATCATTCCATCATTCCATCATTATGCATATGTGAACTTTCTAAACCAAAACCATCTTACTACCCTGACACTATCTCAGCTGCTAGTTCATCTACCAACAATCTCTCGATTTCCCTACCTATTACATCAATATCCTCCCTCAAGTCTAACCATTGACATTCCCCTGCAAGCACCATCTCTCCTGCATCCATTTGCAGTTTCTTGTTTTGGCTTACTAGAGACTTGCGCAGGCTATCTTCAAGTTCTCTCATGCTCCATTGTGGAGTAAGTTTTCTTGCAGACTTCACCCATGGGTGTTGGTCCATGTATTGCTGATAGATCTCCAGTAGCTTTGAGTTAATTCTATCGAACATCAACCTCCTTTCAGCCCTTGACCAAGAATTTAGATTACAATACTTTTTCTCAAGTTCTTCAAATACTAACGGATTCACTGGACATTCTGGAGAATGGCATGCTGCTAAGAATGCATCCAAGTCGGCTCCATCAATTCCAGAATCAACCAAGACATCAACAATGTACACAGACTCCCAATTCTCTTCAGTCTTTGGTATCCCTTTGTCCTCGGCAAACCCAACAGATACTTCATCACCCTCATCATCACTTGAAAGAAGCATAGTTCCCTCTTCATATGCCTCAGATTCTTGTTTTAATAGTTGAAGTTGCATCCGAAGCCCTAAAAGCATAAATAGAACTAAAAAATTAAACGGAATAGATAGAATCACACATAATGAAAGTAAAAAAAGGCATGTTTCATGCTGCATACCAATTGGATGAACTTACAAGAGTCCTGTATTATAATTTTGATTTAAAAAATAATGACAATCTATTCGCTCAGATATTAGGGATAGCTTATGTTTCCATGGCTTTAGGAACCTTAATACTAGAATCTGATCGAGAATTTGAAAAATAAAAAAGCAGTAGCTTTTCTAATCCAAATGGAAGCTAAATACAAAAGTGATGAAACTAAAACAGCCACTAAATTACCATGGAGATCAGCGCTAATACTCTCAAAGCATTCAGAACCAGATGATAAATCATCTGTAAAAGGAGCTTCTATAACAGAAACAGGACTGGGTTGCTCTGCCTCCTTAGAGCTCGCTCGTGATTCTAGTTCAGATACAGGGCATTGCAATGTGGTTTGTTTAGATGGTCCCTCCGATGGTTCCTGGAGAATATTACAAGAGAGATGCGTTTGTTAAACTGAATAGAGAAATTTCTCATTAACAATCCTTATGCTCTAATATTATGTAATGACTTTGAGTTAACCGTTTCAAGCAAGTTCACAACACTACTATGGGATGGAGCAATCAAGAACAAGTAAGTTGATAGAAAAAGATGATAAATTTATTGGTAAAAGCAAACTTTAAGAAATACAGACTTGAGTTGGGCATCTGTGATGTGCATATTAGAAAGCAAAAGCTACTGATAGAAAAAAAATAGTTACTATTTAAGAGCAGGCTTGTTGCATAATTGGAGATCATGGTAGAGAATGATGGAGTACAAAATTGAAAGTAAAAGGAAAATAGATCCCTCGTTGGAGAAACAAAATTAAGATTATGATCAGATAAAACTGGCAAGGGAAACAAACAGAAGATAACTTAGCATCGTGCAAGTCCACCCATGTAAAGCTATGCACCAGAAAATCCATATACAAAATTTTATTTGAAAGACCAAGGCTGGCAAACAGCCCAAGGTATTAGGTTTGTCAAATATCACTAACAATAACCAATATGCAACACCATGAGCAAGATCAGAGAATAGACACACATATTAGGAGATTTACAAGCTACACCACCATTCAAACAAAAAAATACCTGGGAGTCCAAATTATCCAGGTCACCAGTAGAAACATGAGCATTAAATGAAGCAGGAGCTGATAGTTCCATGTGAGATGGTTCAGAAAGCACAATCATATTCTGATCGTTGATATCAGATGCATTTTTAAGAACCGAACTTGAATCCATGGCAGTACTAGCAGATGGCCCTGAGACCATAAGATTGTATTCAGATTGATTATCCCCTTCTAAATTTTGCTTTACTTGATATGGGGTGATATCAAACTCTGGTGAAGCATCGCTATTTTCCTTATTACCACTAGAACTAATACCCAGAAATTGAGATTTCTTAACACATGATCTTTGGTTGCTAGGAAATGGAGCTTCCCGCTGATTAAAATTGCCTTTTACTGCCTTTTTTCTGTCCCACTTGAAACCCTCTTTTGGGATCACATACTTGTCTCTGCGAAGACTTTCATGACGTGTGCTTATTCTTGGACTTCCAAAGTCAGTAGAAGAAGCAGGAAGAGATCTTGATCTTGAAAGATTACCAAGACATCCATCTTTCCAACCATCCCTACTGCTAATACCTAAAGGTTCATTCCAGACTGCTGGCCCAACATGATTAGAAATCTCACTGCATCCTTCCACACCAACCAGGCCACTAGAATTTGCTGGGGTCACTTCCCTATCTGAGATGGCAAGCATTTCACCCAGTGTGCTGCCCCTACAAACTATGTGCACCTCTTGCAACCCATGTGTTAATTTCCACCTCTCAGATAGTCTCTTCTTGGCCTCCCTACTAACTGATGATTCACTAGAACGGGATGATAACCTCCTATGTTGCTTATTCCGGCCAATGTTATCCCTGAAAGACACTGTTGTTGCATCTGAATCGTTTGCAGATTCAGATCCAGATATATCACATGAACTCTCATCCCCTGCATATCCTCTAAACCTGGGGGTTGAAATTTTCATCGAACTATTGCTAAAGCTATTTTTCATTTGCCTAGTAATCTCCCTTGCCATTTCCCTAGACTCTCTTGAATTATGCTTTGAAAACCCAATATATTGGTTAACCTTATTCTTGCCCCATATTTCTGCCTCCGTATTTTGGATACCCAAAATTTCAGAGTGTCCTGCGCAATCAGAAGGAAATTGATGAGAAGAACAAGGTGATGAAGCAGTTCTGGTAGAGTTTTGTAACTTCCCAAGATTTGGTTTCAAGATAACAATTCTTGTGGGTACAATAGCTGGCCCATTTTTCTCTTCTAATTGAACCATAGGTGACTTGGGGGGATTGTGAGTAGCATATCTTCCATAAGAGTGACTCAAATGATCTTCTTGATAAGCCTGAGGAGATTTGCAGTGGCGCTTCAATTGTGTTTCTCTCCCTGTTCTTCGGCCTAAGCGACCATTTTCATTGTTCAGAGCGTGTGATGACTTCATAGCTGATATTCGACTACAACGGGACTGGGATGGCGCACCTTGCAGATCATGCAAATGCTTTGTGAATAATGAATCTGGTTGCTGAAGGAATTTCAGCAGAAGATCCGTGTTGGAGTCTAACACCTCAAGGGTATCATTGAATTCCTCTGAATCTTGAAGCTTTTCATCTGTTGAAAGACGTTTAGCCTCCATAAACTTCTGCTGAATAAAGGCCACCTCAGCATCAGAAAGCTTTGAGTTTGCGGTCCTTTCGGATAAGTAACCAGCGCTCTCCACTTTTGATGCATCTAAAACTTCAAAAACATCTTTAAATTCCTGCTCCTCTTTTGAGCTTTTCGTAGAAGATCGCCGGCTATAGAATGTACCACCCTTTTGACCTTTCTCTTGACTAATCTCAGTTCTCTTTTGCTGCTTGTGGCCGGGCTGGTGAGGTGGCATCCCATCAAGGCCCATCAATCTTGCTATCACACTTGGTGCTCGTCTTCTAGATTCATTTTCTTTCAACATCTCTTGTGCTAACAACTTCTTCATTGGGGTCCCAGTTGATTGTTTTGACGATCTCCAACCAAACTCAAACATTAACTGCCACAACCAGAAACATTTGATTATAACTATCAACTCATTTTGTATTAAAATAGAACCTACGGAGAAACTAAAACTAAAATAGCATAATGCATAGAAGGACAAATCTTATAATATGGTACAATAAATGGAAACAAGAAAAAACAGAGCACCTGATCTTCGTCTGTAGTACCACTACTGCAGGAACTAGAATCAGATGCCAATTTTGAAAATTTACTCTGCTTTTGAAGCTGCCTGTTTCCTGGAAATGAATCCCTATAAGAGCATTAGGATAGCTGTTCAAGGAGTACAGAAAGGGGCAGACTTAGAATTATCTTAGAAACTACGCTTATGAACTCATGAAATCAACATGAGCCAAAAACCATATGAATTATTCTTATTAAAAAATCAACCCCAGCATGAAAACCCAGAACTAAATTCAAATTTGGAAAAATTTTTAGACAAGTAATAAGCAGAAAAATAAAGCAAATATTCAGAGAAATAAGAAAATCAAATTAAAAAAAAAAAAAGCAACTCGGCAGCTAAGCGAAGCAATCATGGCTCATCATAACCCTAGAAAAACAAGCAATATCATGTTGATAGCATAATAGAAAAGTGAGAAAGGTGTTTAAAGAAAAAAAATTAACTTTAATGAAAGCATAAGCAACGGCTAGAAGCAGGGGATAGCCAAAAATTAAAAAGAAAAAAAAATGCATGCTTTAAAGAGAAATGATAAAAATTAAGATAAATTTTCAAGAATACGTATGAGCAGAATAAGTTAAGAGATTAAAGGGAGGAAGATTTTACACAGAAAACCGAGGGAGAATGCTGCGTTTGGTAACTAAGAAAATGTAGGAAAACAAAATTAACTTTAAAGGGGAAAATAAGAAAAGCTTAAAATCATTATTATTATTATTATTATTATTTTGCAAGCTAAATTCAACGGTCTAAACTCACTCAATTTCATGAGTCATTTTCAAAATAGAAAAACAAATATGGAATCTTTACATCCTAAAAAGAAACAAAAGTTCATAAAAAAATTCTTCCTTTTGCCTTGGATTCCTCAACAACCAAAACAAGCGAAAATCTCAATACGTAAAAAAAGAAAAGAAAAAGAAGAAAATCGGACCTCTTAAGGAAGCAGGGGCAGTTGAAGGAAGTAAATCGGTTAAGCTCTGATCAGCAGATAAGCTCGAAATCTTAGGCCTCCCTTGCCGAACTGTCTCCATTTTCACTCATTTAACAAAGAAAACAAAAACAAACGCTCCTTTTCCTTAACGAAAAAAAGACAGATAATGCGGAATAAAGCAAGCTAGGAAGAGAGAAAAAGGATCCAAAATACTCATCAGTAAAACAAAGAAAAAAGGAACAAAAATGGAAAATCCATGTCTTGAAAAGAAAAGAAAATTAAAAATTTGAGCAATTTTATTTAAAGGAAAGAGAATTTTGTTAGCTGGGATAGTTAAAACGGAGAGCGTGACAACGGCGAGCGCAATAAAGAGAGTAGGGGGAGGGGTCCGTTAGAACCGTCGAAGACAGGGTAGAGAGTGAGTGAAGAGAGAGAAACAAAGAATTCTTTTTGAACATTCAAAAATAGTAAGAGAGTGAGAGGGGGAGAGGCGTTAAGAGGGGCACTCTGCGCGGGCGAGTGGAGAGGGTGGTCTCTAGGGAAGGGCTGTCCGAACCCCAACCATATTTAACACGCGTCAGTTTCTTGTGTTGTCACGTTTTGCCTCCTTATTGGATTTGATTTGGACAAAAAAAAACCTTTTTTTTTAATCTTTTAATCTTTTTATTTGGCAATGAACCATTGTATTTTTAAGATGGTTAAAATATTAGAAAAATTTTCTGAATTTTTTTATTTTTTTTAATAAATTTTTGTATTTTTATTATATTTAAATAAATATAGCAAAACAAGTTATTATTTAAAATAAAAATTAATTTATATTAAAGATCTATTTAGATAAAAATTGAAAAATAAGTTATTTATATATAAATTAAAATTTATAAGTTTATTTACATAAAAATTAAAAATTAAGAAATTTATTTGTGTAATTAAAATATAAGAATTTTTTTTACATAAAGTAATAAAATTTCAGAAACTTTTTTGTTATTTTAGTTAATATTATTTTATGTTTACTTTTTTTATCATAAAAATCTTTTTAATAAGTGATGAAATTTAATCATAAAACATAATCATGATATGATGAGAGTGATTTTTATCGTATCATCAAAAGATTTAATAATGTTTAATAGGGATAATAAAAAATTTGTATTTGCAACCAACTAATTTAATTATGGTTTTTAATTTCATAATAATGGAGATAAACTTTAGCTGAATCAAGAATTGTAAGACAAAAAAATTTAGCTCAAAGTCATGAATGGGATACATGCTATATTTTTCTATTTCAACCAATGACTTTTTAGAAATAAAATAAGCTTGACAGGTTGCTGGGATTTGGATGCACTTATTTACAAGTAAACTTGAAATTAGGCAATCATATTAATGTATAAATTGATTGGAAAACAAGAAAACAGATTGTGTATACCATTTCTTGGAAGCCAAATATCCTTAAAGCATGAAAAATGAACATTTTTATTTTATACTCTTGCTTTGCTTTTTGCATAAGACAATGATCATGATCATCTCAAAATTTTTCTCCCAAGGCTTAATTATGTTAATTTAAATGTAGCTTAATTTTACATTAATATTAATTTATATAATCAAAAAATTAAGTTGTTTTTCAAATTTAAGTTCACTTTGACAGTGTGATAGAAATTAATGCCTAATTCAAAAACATTTTAAAAATTAACATCCGAATGAGGGGAAATTGTCACATGTGTTGTTTTTATATATAGCTGTTAGTTAGAAGTAGTGTTAATCCAGCTTTAGGACTTGACAGCTGAACCGTTGTGAAGAATGCAGTCATTTTGGACAACAAGGACAGCGACTCAGACCAAACAAAGTTGAGGGAATCTTCAAATTGGAAAACTACCCAATGCTAAATCAAGGGGGACCGGACCTGCTACTAGCTAGCTCAGCCTATAGCTAGGTGAAATCTTTGGGTTTTATTTTGTTTTGTTTTGTGAAGTTGACTCAAGCCTTGATTTTCTTTTGGGGATGAGAAAAAAAACAGTGTCAATGGGATTTGTGTCTTTAATAGCAGGATTGCCCTAGAGACAGGAAGGGATCAGGTAAAAGAACCAGATTTCAAGACCTTTTTAAAACCCTTAAACAGAGACATTTTTGGGGTATGGTCGACACCTTCGAACTGCTGATCGCTAAATTCACAGTCAAAACTCAAAAATTCACATAGTAACATGGACTCATTGCGATGTCATTTTGATGCCGAATATATATATATATTTATTTATTTTATATATATTATCTGCAGTTATATAATCAAGAAGCGACAAGAAATGTAAGGGCAAGTGGACAACTAAAACATTCGAGGAAATCTACCGAAGATTTGGTGAATCGTTGTTCGAAGTATTGGATTCGACATGGTGTAAGTGCATAATGCTAATCAGCTAGCGGCTAACTGATTCCCCATGAGTTTTGGATCAGAATAAACCTTTTAGCGCATGTCAAAAACAAATCAATCAGCTTCGAAGTATGATTAATTTGAAGTTTGTAAATGAAGCAATCTCATCAAATCATAATTGGAGAACAGATTTCAAACAGGGATGCACTATTTTTGTATAGTCAATTCTTTCTGGAATTTACTCTGTCTGATATTTGTATTATCTCAAAACATTTTCTCCCAACTTGCAGTAAGTCTACCTATTTCTTACATGATTCGATTTGTATGCAGGTGCAGATTTAAACTTTACTTGATAGGATGAACAAAAAAATTGAAAATATCATTCAATAATTTGACCCCACTGAGTATAAATCCAGGATTGTCTTAATTTGTCTGTACGGGTAGGCCAAGCCTATACCAGTTTATGCTAAATTAGTAATATCAGTCTGATGAAAACAGAACTACAAATAGAAAATAAACAAAGGAAACTCTCCCTTCGTATCTCAAGATCATATAAGTTTTTATGCATTGAAACAAACTCGGAAATGCAAAATTTTGAGCCAAGAAGCAAAAAACCAAACTCTCCAAAGCTGTTTTTGTTAACTCGTTTCATGTTTTGTCCTAAGCGTGAAATCAAATATGATCTGTTTCACCAACCATTCCTGTATATTTCATCAAGGCATGATTAGCTCGGAAACCCTTTATTTCAGTGAAAAAGCCAAAGCAAAAGAGCACCATAACAGGAAAAATGATTGTTTGTCTCCAGTCGACACGATAAAGTTGATTAAAGTTATAAGTCCCGCTCTTCCATTCCATCACAATGATGGAGAGTATTCTCTCTGATTTTTCTTTCCTTTTAGACACTTCTTTTTTTTCCTTCATAAGGGATCCAAAGGTTGATTTGTAGGAGCATGTGAAAAGAAAGAAGTTTTAAGAGCCCCCACCACCCATAACCACAGATTCATGAATACTCGTGTCTGATTACCCTTTTCTAACACATTTTCTTGTCTGATGTCTTTTTCTTTCTTATTGTCCTCTAATCAATGCGAGTAAGGAGAATCGTTTCTTTACATCAACAAGTTTGGCATTGACAAGGCAAATGTGCTTCTGATTTTTCTGCCAGGGTGACTTGTTTAGCTGATAGACTCCTGGACAATCATGGAAATGGTCTTTCTGCCGTACACATGCACCAGCATTATCAGCCGCCCATGGCCTGTACGTATGTGAATGTTTATGGTATTGTTTAGCTCTTTCTGATAAATACCCTTTATTGGGTTCTTATCTTGCTTGTTAGAAGAAAAAGGAAATGGAAAAGAAAAAGGTAAAGCGAATGACTTTGACTAAAAGTGCATTGGAGGCGAAATCAACAAGAATTATGGCTTTTGAATGGCTATAAGTGTCTGTTATCTTTTGACAGACAAATTAGCTTAATTAAGAAGACAAATGCGGGAGACTCATTGGCCTATCAAACTGGATTAAGAACCCCGACCTTTGGTTGTGTGAGATCAGGAGCGAATCAAGAGAAACCGTTGAGCCTTGTTACCTACCTAAATGACGAAACAAGTAATGCCTGAACAGGTATAAACCTTTTCTAAGACATTTTTTTTTTTGGAGATTGGGAGACTCACCCAACTCCAAAGAGAAGAGGCCGAAATAGACAGATCTGTCAAGGTTTACGCTACGAATGGCAAGTTTCCGATTAAAAATAGAGATCCACAGAGTCAAATACAAGCAAATCCTGTAGAAAATATGTTGTCTTATCATTTTTTGAGGTGGTGTGGCATTAGATTACTGACTTATCAATCTTATTAAGTTACTTTATCACTTTCAAATATGTTTATTCGTCTTAAAGCATTGACTTGTTTATATAGATAGATTCAGCACTGCATTTTAAGAGAAAACAAAAAGAAAGTGGAAAATTAACCGGATTGACATTAAAGGAAGTCAAGATCATAAGAAAGTTAATTAAACAAAAGCAGGTACGATCTCAATAAAATGGTTTCTCAGAACCCGTGAACCTTTAAGGCTGACAGATGGAGATCGCAGTGTTAAAATTGAAGATGGCTTTGCAATAGAGAAACCCCGAAGACTAAAAAAATAAGTTGCCAAGTCGCATAGGCAAAAAGAGCAATTGTGGGACCGAACCAGGGATTTCCAGAATATCCGTCAGGAGCTGGTGTGAGCCAAATCTCAAATCAGCACGAGAACCCCAAGACAAGGATTAAAGAAAATTGTGCACAAAAGGAACCCAGCTATTGCCGGCCGTGCCATCCTCCAAGCGGACATCCGCTGCGACTTACACAGTGGATACTGATGCACTGATGCCCCAACTGGGGGGCGTACATTGTTTGATTTGCCTCTGAGGATTTTTAATCCAGAGGCTTACTTGTAAATGAAATTCATCCTTCAAGACAAGATCGCCCTGCAGTTTGAGAATGAGGATCGTTCTGTGCCTTTGACTCTTGAATTTTGTTCATCTTTTGGTAACAGGATTTGAGTCAGAATCAAGTGAATTGTTAAACTAAGAGTTTGGAGCATAAATAACATTATTGTACATTGGATTACTCAGGTTCAAGCAATGCATTCAAAGAATAGCCTTTAAACATTAAACTAAGCCCAAAAATCATTTCCCTTTCCATACAAAATGCAGAGCAAGCGTCTAGGCTACTGGAGTAACTTTAGTACTCAATTTTTTTAATTCAAAGTTAAAGCTAGGGTAAATAACAGTACAAAATATCCAAGCAAACACGGAATTACTTGTGCTGCTCACCGTCAGTACCAGAAATTTGTTGTATGATCAGATAAGTCTGTCATGTCACAGACCTTTGTCTCAAAAGAAAGCAAATGCTGCCATATAAAGCAGCGTATATAATACCTTATTCAACTCTTAACACTCACTCTGTTCACACTTCACGCACCACGACACCTAACTCAAAAAATAACCTCAAACCAAACAATTCAAAGCAGACTGATGCAAAAATATATATTTGCCGCTCGGAACAAACAAGAGGAATTTTTAATCAAACAGGGTGGGTGAATCAAAGTATGAATTCTATGTACATTAACATGCACAGCATTGTAATAGCAGATACATTAACATATACAGAATCACCACGGTTAATCTTACACACGCTCAGCAGGAATATAGTAACAATCAAGCTAGACTGAAACCAGTTGAGCAACCCAAACATTTCCCTTGAACGGTAAGATATTTACCCAACAGCTTAGATTAAAACTGTACAGTTCAAAATGTACTTGACTTGAACAAGTCCAAACAGAATAAGTCACCATGTGGTTTCTTGCTAAGTTGCCTACTAGCAACTGACAACATACCAAAACACAGAAATCAAACAAATCTGTTAACTTACATGGGGGTCAACCACATAACCACATATTCTAGATGGAAATGACCCTTTCAATCTATAGACTAGCAAGATACTTGGCAACTAGAAAGCCCATTTGTAACAGAAACAACAGATTAACAATAATTCCTCTTATCTAAACTAACACTTCTAGCAAACTCCCACCTATCACAGCAGCCTCAGGATAAAGCAACTATACTGTAACACCAGCATGCATAGCTACTACAAAGCAATCTATACCACAGTAATCATTCCTATCTTACTCAACCAATTATTGACTACCATTATGTATACACATACTAAAACGCCTGCCTTCCATTAAAAAAACTCAATGTCAAGATATCAATGTCCATCTAATATATTCAATGAGCAACAATTACTTTTATGAATTACACTTATATGCAAAGCATTTTATAGCATTTCCTAGGTTTAATAGATAGGTTATGTGGGATATCAAGGCAGTTCCGTCGAGTGACAGTGCAAAGTGAAATTGAGGAAAGACCGGTAGGATAGTTTATGAACCATAGTTTCATCACTGCATTCAAGAACACAAGTCCACACTGAAGCAGGAGACCAGAAGCCACTCACCAAATGACTCATCAGCCACTTATTATGGCCCTACATAATGAACAGAGAATGCTATTGAAAAATCCAACATTGACATAACAAAATGCAATGGTATCATCATTCCATCATACTGAATTTAAAATGCAAAGAGCAAGGTAATTTCTACACACTCAGAATCAATTGCCAACAAATTAGAAAGTACTTGAAAGTCATCACTTTAACAAAGCATACAACAAAATAAAACCAGCCAGAAATTCATGGATCCATAGCGAAGGATCAAAATGAAAGCTGATTTTCTGATTTCTACCTACTAATTGTAATTATAAACTGCCATTTTTCATGGCAATCACCATTGATGAAGAAACATTTATATACATATAGCAACCATAAAGGATAACAGGGCTTGGAATTCAGCTTGATATTAGATAAGATCAACTTAGCAATGTTTATACTAAACCCAAAATTCATGCAACACAACAATCAATAAAACATAAGGCACAATATGACCATAATGCATGAAATAAAACATATATCAAGCTTCCTAAGATCGTACACAAAATGCAGACAGAATGATTAAACTAAGTATATCATCGGCTATGCCTCATATCAATATGCTAATGCATAATTATAAACTAATATCCAAAATGTAGCACAAAAACTGAAAGACGATTAAAAAAGAAAAACAAGCTAAAGTTGAAAAATAAAAAAGAGACCTCTTTGTAAAAACCATCATTGTGCACCTCTGATAATAAACAAACCATGTGTCTCTCAACTCTTCCCCGCGCCTTTCCTCGCAGCCTTTTCAGCAAAATGCTTAGTGGCCAACATATTATCAACCAAATACTCCCTATAAGGGTGATTCCTAGGAACAAGTTTCCTAAACTTTTCAAAGTGTTTCTCGGCCTCATTTTTCTTCTTCAATAGAGAGTAAATAATGCCCATACACATATATGGCCTAAAATCCCTTGGCTCTTCCTTAACCAAACCCTCATAAACCTTCAAGGCTTCCGAATGGTTCCCTTCAATCATTCGAATTTGTGCAATTAATAACTTAAAGTCCCTAAAGCCTTTACTTTTCTTTTCTTTCTTGCATTTCTCCATTGCCCCTTCAATTCTTTTTTCCAATTCCATCAGTTTTTGACCCGACTCCGAATAAGCCATTACAAGGCCGTGAAAAGCCTCGACTCGAACCGGGTCTTTAGCTAATATTTCTTCGAACTCGTTCTTGGCTAACTCGATATCGCCACTGTAGCTATGAATTTGGGCTTTTAACATTGGCCATTCGGTGTCTTCGGGTTCGTGCTCGATCAAACGGTCAATAACTTCGATAGCTTGTTGGAGTTTCTTTGATTTGATTCGCACCTCCATGAGAGACCGTAGAGCTTCGACGTCATTTGGGTACTGAGTCAAGTGTTCTTCGATGGTTTTTTCTTGATCTTCTAAGGACATATTCGTGTCCGTTGAGGTAGGCTCGACTGTGGGCGTTGCCGTTGGGACGGCGAGTGCGGGTTTCTGGTGGAAGCGCATGAAGAGGAGGGCGGCGGCGGTTGTTATGGTAATGCAAGTGGTTTTGAGGAGAGGGGGTAGCGTTTGGAGAAGGGAAGGTGTGGGGGTTTGATAGAGCGGAGCCGAGGAGGATGACGAGGAAGAGGAAGCTCTGATGGAGGATAATTTGAACGGTGACGATGAGGTTGAAGCCCTGAAGGAGTGAGAGGAGATGGGTTTAGGGAGCGATGGATGGTGGTGATTGAAAGAGAGGTAGAGAGGTTGGTGACAGCAGTGTACTTTAGCAAAAGACTCCATGTCTAGAGAAAAACAGAGGTTTTTTCTCTAAAACCCTGGTAGATGAGGATGATAACGGACTGTTCAAACCCTTCGAGCAACGAGGACTCCAGAGTGTGCGTTTCTTTTTCTCGTTTCGAAAGGAAACGACAGCGTTTTTGATAGTTGGATTTGAAGTTTCAGGCCCAATGATGCTTTGTCCAAGTTAGTTCGAGGCATCAATGAGCCCAATCCAGCAAATTCCGTCACCATTCCTCAAAGTAGGAAACTAATTTATCTTTTATATTAAGGATGATTATTTTATATACGAAAAATTAACAAATACGTTAACGTAAAATTTTTATATTTTACAATGCATATTTTTTAAATATTATTTAAAAAATAAAAATAAAAAATGTAAAAATTTCTTAATATTATTGATAAAAATTTATATTAAAAATATATCAAATATTATCTCTCTCTCTCTCTGTATATATATAAATATATATATATATATATATAATTATATAGTAGCGCGTGAAGAGGAGTGCGGCCCCCTTTCCCAGCTACTGTTTCTCACAATTTTTGCTATTTGTTTCTTCATCATTCATCACTTCATTTTCTGGAATCTGCACCCTCTGCTGTCGTCGTTCTCGTCATTTTTCTTTATCTTATTTGTAGGATCCTTTTGTACCAAAGGCAAAGTCCAGTAGGAACTGAAATTCTGGAATCTGGACCATATGCTTCGGGACTTCTACGATGATATTGTCTACTACATGCTACTACATGTGGGAAGAGCAAATGAACTAATCAAGCTAAACTACTTTAAACAACTCTTGCCATTCTCAATAATATTATTCTCTCTTATGGAAGCATTAAGCCTGCTCTGGATCCTTTGCCTTTTCTTTATTTCAGTTGCTCTCTGGTCTCTTCCCCTTGTGTAAGCCTCAAAGAACTCTTTATTCTCTTTCTCCAACTCATTCCAAACTGTAACCAAACCATACAGACCATATATACAGTATTAATCTTGGTTGGTATGATTATACGTGAGTGATAAAGAAAAAGAAAAAGGTGACTGAACCTGTTGAAGTAATCACTGGTTTAATATCTGCATGCTTAGACAGAGCTTCCATGCACTCTTCTTTGCTCATGTTGAATATCAAACACTCTTCTATAAGATGGTGCACCTGCATAGGTTTGATCACCTTAGCGACAATGAAAACTCAATGAAAATCATCATTGAACGTAGAAAATTAAGAAGATCAATCATTACATACCATGTGGATATATGAAACAGAAGAGTCACCCATAAATCATAAACAAGTATTACTAAAAATAATTACTCGGAGCTAGAAAGGGTTAGAAATATATAGAGAATAGGAGATGAAGAAGAAACTAGAAAAAGAGAAGGGGAAAAGCAGATGAAAAAGTCAAGTAAAGAAAAAAGAGAAAGTAGCTATGAAAAGACGAAGAGAAGGCCAAAAATGTTTAATCAAAAAACAATGTGGGAGTGTGGTTGAATTGAAAAAAAAAAAAAGGTTGTTTTGAATTTGATCCTATGAATGATGTCGTAGGATGTTGGAGGGGTCCAAGTCACACGTGGGACGACGTTTATGATTGGTGGAGAGGAGATTAGAGGAGATTTTATAAGCAGTCCTAGTTTGTCTCTTACGTGGCCGATACCCCACACTCCACGTGACACGTGGGACCGCCAACTTTTATTTTTGGTGTACTGTAGAGGCGGGGTGCACCTGGCTCTGCCCACACCCTGGAAATTAAAAAAAAAAAAAAACGAACCGTGAAACTGCCGTATTATCCCACACTTATACGTGAAAAATTAATGGGTACGATATTTTTTATCCATTTGTTATATTCGAAATTGCAGGGACAGGCTTTCCGGACTTCCCGGTTGTCACGTTGTTTTCTTTTGATTTATAGTCGGAGAGGGGGTTAACGAAGTGTTGTTTTCAGTTTTTTTTAATCTACTTCATTCACAAATTGCCATTATTATATGTGATTGAAAACAGAACAAGTAAAAAAAAAAGAAAGAAGAATGATACGAGAATTTTTTTTTTGTTAAATATTGCAATATCAATTGAAAAGTCCTAGTGTCTAAGCCATGATTGATTAGGGGTTACTGGTTAAATTTGCAGATCCCTTTCCGTCGCCTAATTGTACCAATTCTATTAACAACAGCGACAGTTCCACAGTGGGAGCCATGCTTCAGAACTTAAAGCAAAATTTGGTCACACTTCCACCGAGATTCTATGAAGTTTGTCGTTTCGATTATCACTTCTGCGCATTGAACTGGTAAGGAAACTATACGGGCAGGTAAATGATCGTCCCGCCTCTCTGATCAGCTTTTACTCCACATGATGCCAGAGCAGAGGCGACTTTTAACATCCATTGGACCATTTATGTTTGTTTATATTAAATTATTAAATTATTACGTTTGTCGTTTTTACTCTTTGATTTGCAGCTTAAAATATAATTTTAGTTACATCATTCCAGACCAAAGTACTTTTTTTGGTACAATTACAGCTGGAAACCATAACCCAAGGTTTGCTGTCCGTTTAAGAAAAACAGGGCACATTTACATTATTGACAGGCATACTTTGACCTAAACAAAACAATTGGCAGATGAGCGTAAAGTTGATACCGAGAATTCAATATTCATAGCATTTTTTAGCTGTACTAATTATAATGGTCAATTCGATCCCCAAGGATAGCAAGACAACAAGTAGGTTAGAGACGTCAAAATGCCATGTTTCGATGGCTCAATCCTCATCAAGTCAAGATAATTTTGCATGATAGTACTCTGCTTATATTCTGATTCAAGTGTCGAGAGGGGGAGGATTTGAGAGAAAACGATCTAGAATAAATGTAAAAATTTCTAGCACAACTTTTCCATTGCTCTACTTGAATATCAGGCCGAAAACTGGAAATTATCAGGTGGATACAATTCAATGAGGACCACCAGATAACAAACATCCTGGGAAACAAAGGAAACCGGGTACAAACAAAAAGGAGAAACAAATTACATGTTCAGGAGAAGGAATGAGTATACACTATACATATATATAAATGATCTTGCAAATATTTTTAAGATACAAAAATGCCATTCAAAATATGCCTCGCTATGCATGGTTGCTCAAACTCGTTATTAACAAAGATCCCAATCTCTAACTAAAAAGGGTAACCAAACCTTCTGTGATCTCTTGTAAAAAATGGATGTCCTAACGCTTCTCTAGCTTTAAGTCTCTCAGCTGGATCATACCGCAGTAGCCCTTGCAAGAGATCAATCAAATCGCCAGCAGAATGATCCACATGCTGCATTATTAAGTTCTGCAGCACATAAAACCAAACAATCATGAAAGGAGTAGTTTAGGAGCACAACTGGGAAGTAAGGGAAACAAAAATAAAGATAGTAATGTGCCCAAACATTTGGAGGAGGCTATATCAACAACTCTAGAAACTAATGTAAATGGTGATAGAGATGGACTAAAAATAGTATGCCTATATGATTCAAAATAAGCAGAATAGGCAAAATGTCCCAGTATCTTTCAAGATAAATCCTTGTAAGTAAACGCAATAGGATAATTCTGCCGTTGTTTAGTAGTCTTACACACCCCTAGTAAGATGAACATCAACAGCAGCAAATACAGTTATTGTCAATATCAAGTGAGTTAAGACCATTTTCAATAAGTTATAAAGAAGAGCATACTCATGACAACTTACTGGCAGGCGGGGCAATTTCCAAACTGCCCTAAGGCTTTCTCTTGAAGTTGCACCATCGGGCCAATCCAAACGTGTGCCCCTCCGGAAGTATTTCTCAGCACGGCGGCTGCAACAATATCAAGCACAATGTAAGAACTTCCTCTGCAACATATTCACAGCAAGTACAAGATATGCAGTCACTCTTACTCAGCTCTAAGCACCATATGTTGGGGTAATGGGCCTAAAACCCTCTCCATCATGGCAAGATGCTCTAAGTTCTCATGAGTTTGGAAAAGTGCCTCACCCTGCTCATGAATAATATACAAGATTTTAGGTCGTAATCACTTTAGGAAGCAAATGACAACGTGTTCCAGATTCTGATAAATCAATCATGAAAGTTTTAAGTTGGCTACGTATATTACAATGACCACAGCAACTATATTCCAGCTGCCTTAAAATGAGATTTATCTTCTAGATGGCAGCTCATATAAAATGAGATTTATCTTCTCGACATGCCTCTTACGTCATCTTAAATCTTATTAACTAATAATTAGCTCAAGAGTAGTTTATAAAAGCTTCTCATTTCCTCTTTTTTGACAAAATTATCATCTACTCCAGCATTCAGTATGACCAATAAGGCAATAACTTATGCTAGGAATACAAACATAAATAAGGTGCCCTTTTTTCCCTTTTTTTTGGTTTGGGAAGGGGAGGGGGGGAGGGGAGGGATGCAGAAGGAGACTACAAAGGTTTACTTACAGAGCAAAGTTCAACCAGTATGCAACCCACACTCCACAAGTCACAAGGATAGTTCCATCCAAGACCTGCAAAAATGACAAAGGATGTCAACAAGATGTGCACATGTGCACATAAATACACATCATATGCAATCCATTGTGATAATGATGATTACCAAGTATGACTTCAGGCGCACGATAATGCCGAGTTGACACCACATAGCTGTGATCCTGGTGTTCAAATGTAGTACTTCCAAAATCAATCAACTTTATTGCACTTGACTTTGGTAGATTCTTAAAATAGGAACCATCTTTTGTTGACCGTGATAAAAACTAGAGCACATGAAAAAGGGCATTATTCAAGAAATCAGCAATCAGAATTCAAAGATGCCTTAGTTTCATTGTACATAAAATGTAAATTAAGCAACCCCAGTTACACTCACCAAAGTCAAACAGCATGCCTAGGGAATAGAAAAACGAAGGAATACCTTATAATCTGGCACCTTAATATATTCTGAGGAAACAAGGAGAATGTTTTCTGGCTTCAAATCTGTGTGAATTAACCGCAAATCATGCATAACTGCACATTTGAAAAGGGAAAAATAACTAAGTTAACTAGATGCAAAAATAACAAAATTTTTTTTATCTTTTTTACGGTAATGAATACATTATCATCATCAACCCCCAGCTTGCCTAACCAAAAATTAAGTAGGGTTTAAAAAAAAAAGTGGAAACTTATCCAATAAATTAACCAATGATGCCAGAACTCTTGCTTCATACTAAAAGGGGTTTGAGCATCAAGTAGATACAATACAGATTAAAAACAGTGCGAGAATTATCACACACATGCTACAGACTCCAAAATTTGTCTGCCAAGCTCCCGAACAAGATCAATGGGAAATGAACGGTAGCTGTTTTTGCGGAGAAAATCGTATAAGCTAGGTCCAAGCCTCTCAAATACCTGTTGAAACCATTTAAATTCATCCGCAAGTTTTTTAACTCACAGAATATTTAGGAATGAAGGAGCTTGCATTGCCCCCTCTAATTAATCAAATAGCAAATACCAATAAATACTTACAATACAAATATGATTACGATAGTCAAACCAATTCCGTATTTGCACACAACTGCAAGGAATGAAACCGCTTATACCATAATCACTTCAATTTCTACAATGAATAAGAGAAAAAAAAGATGATTTGGCATCCTTACCGAACACCACCGACATCACGCTTAGCAAGTCTTTGAAGGACGTCAATTTCAATCATAGCAGCTTCACGATACTTGTGTATGGAGCGAACAATTTTGATGGCCACAACTTCTTGCTTTTCATTGTCAAAACATTCCAGGACTTGGCCAAATGTTCCTGCAAAAATACCATTCAATGGACAAGAATCCATGTTAAGAAACAACCAGAAATATCTACACGGATTAGAATATCAAAATACCCATCCACTACCAGCCACTCTCCATGATTGCAAAAACTTGGATTCAAAGAAAATACTAACCTTCTCCCATTTTACTGAGAATCATGTCTGGAGACATGAAGAATAAAAGAGTATAAGTGAACAAACTTTAATATGACATAAATGGGGAAAAGATGCAAGAACATTAAAGGTGTTTGTCATGACAAAGTAATTTCATTTGAATATTTTTGTAACAATTTAACATTTAATGTCCAAAAACCATATTAAACATATAGATGTTATAAAATCTACATACAAACATCTATCATAGTCAATTTTGCAATAAGAGAGATGAAATTACATCGAGGAGTCAGGTGTTCTCCAACTGCAAAAACATAATGGCCATCTTTATCATCAGGTCTCCGAGGAGGAGAGCCATTGCAAGGAATTCCCCTGTAAAACATATTATCAGGATATGAAAAATTAGAAATCCCTCCATTCCCAAATTCCTGGCCGCAATATATTGCCGGAAGAACCTGCGAAACCAAAATAACGAAATAAAAAATCATGATGAAAAGTTCTCATCTCTAATCAAAAGATAATTTCTTGACATGAAAATTTTTAAAATGAAGGGAATTTGATTATCAATCAGCGATCATAACATCTCATTGCAGTTAATTTTTCAATAAATTATTTAAAACTTTCACAAAATAAACAAAATTTGAGGGAAACTAGGGAAAATTTGTCAAATTACCAAAAGAAATTAAGACGTTTCTCAGAATACTTTTTAAAAATATAAGAAAAAAATCTGAAATTTTCAACAAATTCTATCTAACAAAGGGTGAAAAGGAAATTTTCTTCTTTTACCTTAGCAGGAGGAAGAGGAGGGGGCACATCCCACGTTAATCTGGGCCTTTTCCTGGGTCGTTTATCCATATTTCTGTGAGGAAACTCCATTATCCTCTGCGTCTCCATTTTTTCATTCCCTATTTTTTTCACCTTTTTCTTTTTTCAATTCAATTTCCAAACAATTCACACAGAAACAAAAATAATTGACGAATTCGAGGATTTGACGATTGCTAGAATGCGAAAATTGGAGAGAAGACTGGTCGATTTGAAGATTTTTGAAACCCTAATCTCTTTGTTGGGGATAGAGAGGGATCTGGTGAGCTAAACCTGAAAGGAGGATCTAACCCGGATCAGAGGTTAGCTGAATTCTAGATTTTTTAACTATGGTTAACGGTGGGGACCACCTCCACTGCTTTCATTTCTTTCTTTCTTTTTTTTTTTTACAAGGGCATCAGTTAACAGACGCGTGATCCGTGAAGATTAGTGGACCCATGATATAGTTAATGGGCTGGGCCCACGAGAGCTGGTTTTGGGGTAGTGGGCTTGCGCTGAAACCCAACGATGCAATTCAAATTTGATACGTCCAGAAAAACTTTTTTTTCTTTTCACTGATTTTATTAATTTATTATTTTCTTCAAAAAAAATGAAAAAAATATCCGTTGCATTTTTTTTTTTGTAGTATTAATTATTACTGTTTAGGTAAATGGTGCAGTCCCTTATTGCTTTGTTAGGAAATGAATATTTGGATTTTGATTTATAAATTGGGATGATGAATATAGACTCATTTTCTGCTGAATCTCCCAAGTTTAATTTACCCAGTTGATCTTTTTTTCTTGATGTGTTTGTCTCCTAAATGAAGATTCACAGGCAAATGAAAGGTTTACCTTCTAGCAAAAAAAAAGGCAGTGTAGCATAATAATAGCAGTCCACTGACAACTGGTTGGTAAATTCGTATTTATGGACGTAAAAATTTTGAATTTAAATCTAATTTAATCATTTTAAATGCATAATTTTTAATTTTTAATTTTAAATTATTGAATATAATATATTTTTTAATCTAAAATATTCAGGTGAATAATCTATCTACTCATATTTTTTTACCAAAACAATAATAATAAAAACAATATAAAACATCAACAAGTGATGGATTTAATCAATTAGATTTATTTTTTTCAACAAAAAGATTTGAGGTTGAGTTCTGTCGGTAGTCATTTATTGAAGTAATCTCGAATACACGATTTATAATCACTTATCTTAAATTATCAGATACGATACATCTTATATTAACTTAAAAAATTGAATAATTTATCTATCTCAAATTTTTTTTACAAAAAAAAAATAACAGTCCAACCCCATTTTTTTTTTTTACCAACTCCTTCGTAGTGCTGGATACAAAACTCCACGACTCTGTAGATCTCATACATCTGGCAGTGTTTACGATCCCTAATCCTTATTCAGGATCTTATTTTCTTAAAAAATTCAAGAGGTAATAATAAAATTAGGGGCGGTTTCGGAACCCGAGTATCTATTCATTCAACGTCTCAAATCAATCTATGTGAGATATTATCCGTTTTGACTCTCCTGGTCTCAGAGTTTTGTCTTACGTGCCTCACAAAGAATAGATGGTGTGAACTCTTATATACTCCAATGACTTTCTTTTTATATTCGATGTGAGATTTAGAACTTCTTCTTAGATCCATGATATTCTTCCCATCACCTAATCTCATGACGTTCTCGTCACAAAGGCTAGCCACCCTGCCTATCTCCCTCGAAGCCCTCGTCACGGACACTAGCCATCATTGCCTACCTCACATGAGGTATTTGACGTGGATCAAACGGTTTAGGATTGGTTCTGATACCACTTGTCCAGGTCGAGACTTAAGTTCCGAACCCGCACGGCTCCGAGACTCAGACATCCACTCATCTAGCATTCTAGATTAGCCTACCTGCCTCTGAACTCAAGCGGTTATAGGATCTGAGTATCTATTCATTCGGTATTTCAAATCAATCTATTTATCATGATTCATATTATTGTGAGATATTATCTGTTCTGATCCTTTTGACCTCACGATTTTATCCTATAAAATACATCTCACAAAAAAAAAATAATGTGAATCTTTATATATTCTAATGACCTTCTTTTATATTCGATATGAAATTCAAAACTCCTTCTTAAATTTATAACACAATGCTTAACTGCCGATGAAGTCAACTAATAATGTTTTTTTATGAACAATCACAATGATCCTAATAATACTTTTTTCATTTACGAATTACGATGGCATGTTTTTTATTTATTTTTTGTCACTAAAAGCTCTAAACTAGAAAAATGAAACCAAAATACCGCGTATGACTTGATTTGTTCTAAATTTTAAGGTTCCTTTCAAACAAATTACCGTAATAACAAGCAAAGTCAGCATCGGGATGAAGGGGATAATAGCATAGTGAATAATAATAATTTTAATTTTTTTAAGTAAAATTAAAAAATTATATTATTAAACATGAATAGACTAAAAAATAAAAATATTGTTTGATTTGTGCTCTTCATTCTTTCATCACACTGAAATTATAAAATTAAGTTAAGATAATCTAATATATTAATATAAACAAATAAAAAAATAAAATATTAAATTAAAATAATATATTAGATGAATGACAACATATAAAAAAAATAAGGTACATGTTAAATTAAAATAATCTAACAAATTAACATAAATTAATAAAAAAATAAAGAGCATATTAATTTAAAATAAAAATTCATATAATTATAAAATAATATCATCTAAAGGTTTGAGAAAAACTTGATTTGATTATTATTATTTTTTTAGTCATAAAGCAAAAGGAAAAAAAGTGTTGAGATTCGAATTTTGATTTTGATGTATTTTTTAAAATTATTTTGATCATTAAATTAAATAACTAACAATGATTTTATTATTATTATTTACTTAATTTTTCAAAAGAGTGCTTCAACTGTCTAACACCAATTAATCAAGAAACTCTTTGTCAAGCATAACGAGGTAAGTGAAGGCACAAAGGCAAAACAATAAAATGGTTGACTTAGATTCCTATTAGGTTTCTAAATAGTAAATTCAGCTTAAACTTATTTGAATTTTTAAATTGGGTTGAATAAATAAATAGATGTACAATGGGGAATTAAAAATAAAAAATAATGTATAAAAAACTTATTTTACAAGTTTTATATATTAATTGAAGGGGGCTGGCTAATTTTATATCGAAAGAGGGCCGAATTCTAAAATTATATTATTAATTAAATGGTCCATCTCTGCCCTTTGGCTTCGCTCATATAAAAAATTATAATATTTATCTTAATTTATTAAAATATTTTCATACGTCACTTAATTAAGATCAATTAGTATGAAATTAGAGTTGGTATTTTAAAATTACGAGTTTAATAAATTTATAAGTGTTATGTACTTTTTTAGCCATATAAATATAAAGATTAAATGGATAAAGGATAGATTAAAATATATATATGTTCTCATTCAGCCTAATAACTTGTCTGTTTTGTTCAAGCTCTTGTATTTAATTAGTAATCTAATCCTTATCAAACCATTATATGGTAACAACCGGCTCTCTCTAGAAAGGTATCAACTATGTAAGTAACTGATGAACATTTCTGGATTTTCTATGGTGATTTGAATAACTTCTTTGGTTTTGATCCAGGGGTGACAAAAAAAATGGAAGATGAGAGGCGTGATTTTATCAGTAGTTTGCCACAGGATATTCTGAAACGCATCATATCAGTCCTTCCTTTGGCAGAGGCAGTGAGAACAAGCGCCTTTTCGACCATGTGGAGAAGCCTCTGGGTACCTGTTTTACTAACCTCTTATCAAGAAGCTAAAAGAGAGCTGGAGGAAATCATCTGTTTGCTTTCCAAGTCTTATGATAGTCATCAGGTATGGAAACTGTGTTTAAGCCACCTGGATAGCAAGAAAGTAGCTTCAGAAACTAAGGATGAAGTCACTGTTCTAGCAACCAAAGGGGTAGAACAAGAACTTCACATGGAGTTCTCTAAGAGGGAGAAAGAGGCCAAGAATTTCAAATTGAAGTTGAAACCAACTAGCCCTGCCTCTCAGGCATTAAGCTTTTCCAGTCTCAAGATGCTTCGTGTTAGATCAGTCAACTACCATGGCAAAGATTTGATTTCTGCCTTATTCTCCAGTTCTAAGTTTCTTGAAAGCTTGGAGCTTGAAAACTGTAGTGGGTTGCAAAGCCTAGATATTGGAGCGAATGACCACCTTCAATGCCTGAAACTGCTGGATTGTCCAGACATGGTCAATATTTCAATCTCAGCAAGAAATCTCAGATCATTTTTGTATCAAGGTGTTCTTCCTCAGATTCAGCTGAAGAATGCTTTAGACTTGGTAGAAGTGATGCTTGATTTGAGAAATGGTTTTTGCAGTAGTGAGTTTGATTGTGAGGATGTTATTTCTTTCCTAACTTCTCTAAAGGAAATTAAGATCCTCACCATTAGCAGCTGGCTTCTTGAGGTATCGATCTTTTACCCCATTAAACAGAATACTCCTTGCTTTTACTTTCATTAATCCTGACCAGAAATATTTGCCTTTCCATATATATATAGTGGTTGTGCACAGGAGGAGTAATCTTTTCAAGGCTGGAATTCAGATTCAGCAAGTTAAAGGAATTGAGCTGGATGGATTCTGGAATGAACAAGATCAAACGGGACTCATTAGCTTGCTTCCTGAACATATGTCCTACCCTGGAGAAGTTGCTTATCAAAGTAAGAGTCGGTTTGCCTACAGGTTTTCCCAGAATTACTTCAAATGTTTCAATATAATCTTTCATTCACTATTTTTTTTGTCTGAATAAAACCTGCAGATTGATCCTGACCTCAATTCTATACCTTGTCCATTTTTTCACCAATACTGGCATGAACCTCACCTTTGGATGGATGATGTAACAGTGAAGTCCAATACATCCCAGCTTGAACACCTCAAGATTGTAGAATTTCGGGGTTATAGAAGTGAAGAAGATCAGCTTCTGCTAATGGAACTTTTACTGGAGAAGGCAAACATGCTCAAGTCAATAACTGTTACTTCACCAGAGAATCATTCATGGGAGGTTGCAAAAATCCCTCGGAGACAGCAAAAGCAGACATTGAGTACAAGTAACCAACATAAGAGGAATGCTGTTTTTTCACTTTTCAAGGCATTTTTTATAGGATTTTTCGGAGAGACAAATGTTGTTTTCTATCCAGAAAAGGCTGGAATTTGTAATTTGGGCTTTTGGTATTGAATCCTACTCTTGTATTTTGATTGAACAAACTGTATGACAATATTTTTCACTCTGTACGTATATCAACTTGATTAATGCTTCATCTTGATCAATTAAACAAAGCGATAGAGATGAATTAACTAGAATTATCATGGAAATCTAAAAACCCTGAGCTACATCTTATGTCATGTTCTGGAACACTTTCCATTTCTATTCTGTAGCAACCAATCAATAGGTTTCTTTTTCTTTTTTCTTTTCTATAAAATGTGACCACATGCAGCCTCCGCTTCTTTTTCAAGCCATGTCATTCACCTTTTTGTTTCCTTTTCATCCATTTTTATATGGCTAGAATAGAAGAGAAGAAGGATGCTTTTATTATGTCAAAAGATTGATGTTACATTTTCCTGTATTTCTTTATCTTGCACTTCAAGTTACAGAAAAATTGTTGGATTATACTATGACTTAGGATTCAAAGTCTGAAAATTGTATATTTACAGCATAGAAAATTGATTCTAATTAATGGCTACTTTCATTGAATTCCCTAAAGCATGCCGTGGTTCCATTGTTTTACCTACCCAAGCACGTTTGACAACAAATAACTAGGGATGGTATCGGATTGGAGCCGTAATTTTTATTTGATTTTTAAAATATTTTCTCTAATTTTAATTCAGTATCAAACTATTATTTTTTATATGCGACATTGATTTGATAAGTATATACCTAACTCATGTTCCACTTGCATTGGATTCGAAATTAATTTAATATAATATTTATAAAATTATATTTTAATTATAAAAATATAATATATTTATTAAAATAATATTTTAAATTAATATATTAAATAATAAATTTATTATTATATAAATTTAAAATTAAATAAAATAATAAATTATATATTTATATGTATCATGCTAAATTGAAATAAAATACCTTTAAATTTACATGCAAACTCGACCTAACTTTTTTTTTTAAATATTCAATTCGTTTTTAACTTAACCTTTAATTTAAAATAAAAAATAAAAATCTATCAACTAAGAAGTTTCATATCTACTCACCGAGAACCCATCGCAATATGTCAAAACTCACAGTTTCATTTGAGTTTGTGATATGAGAAGGTCCTTCAACAGAAATTTCAAAAGTTAAATCTTCTAGTTGCGTAATCAAGGCTTTGAAAAAAGGCTGCTTAGACATGCACGTGCGATCATAGTTTGAACTTGGGATAATAGGTTAAGGCGGTACCACTTTACATTGAAATTTATGTAATTTTTACTTGACTTAATTGAGCTACTTAGCTTAAACAATTTCAACTTTGATACTGCACTTCTTCTTCTTTTTTTTAAATGAAGTTATAAATAAAAGAAAATTTTAAAAAAATAAATAAAAAAATAGAAATTATAATCAAATAATACATTTTATATGAAAATTCATTGAATTAAATAAAAAAAAAGTCAACAATAAGTAATTGGTTCAATCGTTTATGTTCGTTTTTATTGACGAAGAGATTTTTTATTCGAATACTGTCGATAATAATTTGTTAGATCATCTCGAATATAATTTATAATCATTTTTATTGGATCATCTCGAATGTATAATTTACAATCACATATTTTAAATTATCATGTACGATATATTTTGTTTTGACTTAAAAATTTAAGTAATTTATTTATTTAAGTAATTTATCTATCTTAAATTTTTTTTAAAAAATAAAAAAATAAAAAAATCCACTAACGATCAATCATAGATATATTCAAAAAGGTCCAAAGACAGTAATTAAGAAAAGGGACAGCCCATCCAACATATAAAAGCTATGGACAGAGACCGGCACTGGCAAAACTTAATACAACGGAGGATGGTGAGTATAACGCTAAACCATTTTTTCATGATAGAGAACTCGTTATATTAATTTTGCTTGAATTTTGTAGGAATATAAGTCCAATGGTAATTATGAATGTTAACATTCTTTATGGTTCTTGTTGAAATTATCTGCTCTGGATGGTGTTAATACATGTTTCCAGCTTTCGTTTTGAACGACACAACTATGGGGCTACGTCCCTTCCAGCATCTCACATACGATTTGATGTTCTTCTAGCTTTTGCTTTTCCATGGGGCCCATCATTCACATGTTTTCGGTCAAAATAATTGATTACTTTTCTTGGTTAGGTGGCACTACTCCCCCATAAAAATTCTACTTAGTAATTAGTAATTATAAACGTTTGATTTGATTGAACCTGGTCGAACTGATGAAGAGTCCTTTTTGGACAACTGTTAGCTACAGTGCGGTGCATTTTACCAATCGCACGGGAGCCTGACTGGCAAGAAGATCCAGGGGCGAGGAGCTTCAAAAGCTCAACTTCCTTTTCCCTTTTATCTCTAATTCCTTTTTTTATTTTCTTAAAAATGTTACTCAACATAAAAACTTATTTATTTATTTTACTATTTTGTACTCATAAATGATGCCTAATCAGATCTTCAAGATTTTAATTAACCAAATGCCCTAAACTTATTATTTTTATTGATTTTTTGTTAAATTAATTCAACTTTCATAATTATTTAAAATAAAATTTACAAATTTTGAATTTCAAAATTTTTAAAACATCTTTAAAAATTTCAATTCAATATAATATCTTTAAAATTTTACAAATTTTGAGTTTCTTTGCAAAAAAAATCAATACTAGACTATGTATTTGGGCCACGGCCATGCAACGCCACTAATCAAAGCGCCCTATATGAATTTACATGCAGAGGGCCCCACATGCTTGGAAACAATGGCCACGTCTTCCAACGGCTACGATCCCCCCGGTAGTCGTTAGAAAACACAAGTTTCTTCCCCCGCACGCTTCCAAATAGTAGTAAAATTAGTATTTTCACTCCTACAAAGAGACTCAAAAAGAAAGCAGAGAGAAAGTACGATCGGAGAAAAGCTCCTTCCATCTCACTCATCCTTCAGATTCTACTCCAAAGATTCCATAAAGAAAAAAAAAAAAAAAGAAGTCCGGTAAGATTTTACTTTCAGGATTCATCAGGTTTTAATTTAGTTTATAATCATTTTAAAGAACTTGTTTCTGGTTTAGTAATAAGCATTTAAGGATTGATCAGGTTCTGCAAAAAAAAATTGAACGAGAAAACATAAATATGTCACTCCAGATCAGTTTAGAAAAGTAGGGATGGGAGGAGTAGTACCATCTCCAACTCCTTTCCCCACTCCCCGGCCTGAACGACGTCGTACGGACTCGAGAGGATCCGATTGGAGCTCTAACCGCCAAGATAGAGATAAAGATGTTAATGTTCAAGTGCTGCTTAAATGCAGGTATTTAAATTTTTTTTTTATTTCATTAAGTTTACTGATTTATTTATTATTGAATTATAATTTTTTTATTTAATTTAGTTCAGTCAGTATATTTTTTTGCTTGATTGATGATTCTGGTTTCAGGCCACTAAGCGAAGATGAGCAGAGGATGAATGTTCCCAAAGCGATTTCCTGTAATGAACATAAAAAGGAAGTTACTGTTTTGCAAAATGTAGCTAACAAGCAAGTAGACAGAGTTTTCACTTTTGACAAGGTGAAGCTCCAGCTCCACTGTTATGAAAATGGTACCATTTTCTTTTGCAAGATGATTAATTGGATTTGTTAAAGTTCACATTTTTATTTCATTTTATTTTTACAAGGTTTTTGGCCCCAAGGCACAACAAAGAATAAGATATGATCAAGCTATTGCCCCAATTGTTAATGAAGTACTTGATGGTTTCAACTGTACTGTCTTTGCCTATGGACAGACCGGCACTGGCAAAACTTATACAATGGAGGGTGGGATGAGAAACAAGGTAATAAAACTTTTAGCTTATCATTTTTTTTATTTGAAAATTTATATTTGATGCACAGTTTTCTGTTTAAGAATTTATAATTTTGTACTATATGCTAATTTTGATGAATAGCAAATTGTGATTAGTTGACAGTTAGTTGACAGTTTATAGAATTATGTACTGGAAATTTGTCAAAATACAACTCTTTGATGAATATTAAGTAAAGGAATATGTTTTAAATACAGGGTGGGGACTTGCCTGCTGAGGCTGGTGTCATTCCTAGAGCAGTGAGACAAATATTTGATACCTTAGGGGCCCAAAATGATGATTATAACATGAAAGTTACATTTTTTGAGCTGTACAATGAGGAAATAACAGATTTGCTGGCTCCCGAAGAGAGTTCAAGGTATGTTGAAGATAGGCGAAGAAAACCAATTTCCTTGATGGAAGATGGAAAGGGTTGTGTTGTTGTAAGAGGTCTAGAAGAAGAAGCTGTATACAGTGCTAATGAAATCTATACTCTCATGGAACGAGGAGCAGCAAAAAGGCGCACTGCTGATACCTTGTTAAACAAGCGCAGCAGGTTGGATTTCTTTATTTGTTTGATTGGTGTAAGAAGAACTACCTTTGGCTAAAGTCATCTTCTTTGCCTCACAGCCGTTCTCATTCTGTATTTTCTATCACTGTCCACATAAAAGAATCGGCTGTTGGAGATGAGGAGATGATAAAATGTGGCAAGCTTAATCTTGTTGATTTGGCAGGGTCTGAGAATATTTCTCGTTCTGGTGCACGAGGGGTAGGGAAATATATACATTCAGCATCTATTATTGGTAATCACTTCCTTTATGTTTCTTGTGTTGTTGGAAATTAAAATATTGCCACTGGAGTGAGCAATTGCTTGCTTGGTTATTACTATCTATTAAGCTGCCAAAATATTAAGAAGCCTAATGTCTTTGAATGGCTTTTATTCGGTAGGTGTGAAGTTTTGATGAAATCTTCATTGAATTGCAGGGTCGAGCAAAGGAAGCAGGAGAGATAAACAAGAGCTTACTTACACTTGGCCGTGTCATAAATGCACTTGTGGATCATTCTGCTCATATACCATATAGGTTAGCTTCCATAAACTCTTTTTTTTTTTTGTTAGTGAGCTGCTTCTAAATTTCATTTACTAACTGTTTTGCCGTGGTTAACAACATTCCGTGCAGGGATAGTAAGCTGACAAGGCTCTTGAGAGATTCTTTGGGAGGGA